CAGCTGTGGCCAATTTGAATCAGAGGAATGAAGAGAAGGATCTATCCTTCTCCTTGCTGCTTGCTTATCTCCAGCCTAAATGCCAAAGGCAAAAATATTAATTGAGCAAACCCCTCTTCACCAATTTTTAGAACACTATATAGTATTTTGAAACTAACTATATAATTCTGCTAGTAGAAAACGCAGCAAAACACAATGCTTATCTGTGACTTTCACCTCGCCTCCTAAAACATATAAATTAGTTCTTTGCACTCATTAAAATCATGATAAAAATAGTCAATTTGCATAACATTTTGTTAGCTTCTATGGAAGTTATTCCCCCTTATCAAATGAATAAGTTAAAATGTTTATTGAATGAGATAATGAGTGAACTGAATAATTTTCTCTTCAAAAATTCTTCTTTTCTAACTTACAGGAAGACATTGTTGCTTCATTTCCAGTCAAATAGCAGCAAAAGTATATGATGCTGATATTGATGGAGACTGCTGAAAAGGACCACAATCTTTAATTGTGTTCAATATCAAAAGTTTGTGCACTGGTCATTAAAGCATAAGATATGTAAATTTAGGGGGGTAGTGAACCAGTTACTCTGTACTAAATGGAACTGGCATTTAATTCTGGGAAATAGAACAAAATGAAATATACATATTTATAAAATTCCAAGAATAACCTAAGTACTTTAAAAGGCTTTTTGTTTCATTCTAAAGCAAAAGGAGAAGAAAGGGAAACATTTCATTTATGCAAAATCATATTCATACTGCAGTGACACCCTTGAGAGATTGTGCTGCTTTTTCTGAAGGCTGGCTGAAGGTCCAGTGAACAGACGGCTTTGGTAGCTCAGTATTGTCAAACGTCAAGACAAATAAAAATTCTTGAGGCATAAAGTTCTGCAGGTTTGGAACTTTATGTGAGCAATGTCTGCTCTCTTCTATTAAGAAGGTTAAAGGTGGGGATTTAACTCCATGATAACACCTTATCGAATATACAAATTCAGGAATGCCAGCATATCTGGGTAAAGCCTAAACAATCTCCACTGGGATGCCCAAATCCACAGGGCTTGCCTAGCTGTGTTTAACATACACACTCAAACAAAACGCTGATCACGTTATATATAAACCTTTCTGTTATAGATATGTATCACTATTTACTTCTGAACTCTGTATTCACTTTTATAGTGTGTTATGATTTCAATGTGTCTCTCAAAAWTCATGTGTTGAGAAAGGGGAGGTACTAGAGAATGAAATAGAGTGAATTACGCTATACACATGTATTAAAGTATCATAATTAATTCCACTTTATGTATAATTATTATGCATGAATTGAAAAAGTACTAGAAGCAAGACCAGTAAAGGAAGGGAAGAGAGGATGGGAGGGAAAGGAGAAGTACTGGGAAATGAAATGGAGCAAATTACGTTATATGCATGTATGAATATGTCACAATTAACCCTGCTATTATGTATAATTATAATGCACCAATAAAAACCATAATAAAACAATTAAAATTATACCAAAGAGAATAATAGTAATCATTTGTTAGAGAAGACTTCATTTAGAATTGAAAGTTATATAAAAATATTGAAATTAATAAAGAAGAGACATAAAATTTAAAAAAAAAATCACATGTTGAAAACTTAATCCCCATGCAAGAATATTGGGAGGTAGGGCCCTTATGAGTCTCAGTTAAAGCTCTGATTCATTATCTGCATTATTTTTACCTTTCTGAATCTCAGTTGCTTTATCTGAAAGTAGAGATAATGTAATAACTCAATAAATGGCAGATAACCTGACATTTACTACTCTACCCCAGTGCTGGTCTAAGCGCCATTCTTATGAGCTCACTGAAACATGATGTAGCTGTGAGACAGATTAATTAGTATTTTTATTTTATACTGTATGGTACTGGAGAACAGTGAGATTAAGAAAGTGATTAAAGCAGAAAAGATGAGAACTCTAAGGAGCAGTGAGATGCTGCAGCTTTGGCAGAATAGAATGGGAGGAGCTGGGGAAGTACTTGCCTTTCTTGCTGCCTCTCAAAGGGCTTGTCAAAGTGCAAACATAAAATAAGGCAAAACCTACATTATTGCTTTATTATCCAATGTGATTGTTATGATTTTCATTGTTATTACCATCATCATCATCATCATCATCTAAAAAGCATTATTAGATCCAATAAGTTAAGAGTTACTTGTTCTTTATTTGTTTATTTATTTTTTATTCTCTATACTCTACAAAATCTGAGAGGAAACACAGTATGTTATACATTATTTATGTTGGCTTTTTCCTGAATATATCTGCCTTCCTAGTTACAGGGGAATCAAAAGGACATTTGTGCCTCCTTCAAGTTACCTAGTTCCCACTTAGTATTCACATACCTTTAACATCTTGGTGGCCAACCACTGTAACTTTAACTTTCTCAATGCTTAAAATATGCACAGTAAAGGAAGGCTTGGTTATTTTAGCAGAATTTTCTTTCTTACCATGTCCTGTCACAAGGAACTGAATTCTCTTACAATTGTCATCGTTTTTCCCTCATGATAGAGAAACACGGAATAATGAGATGATCAAGGAAAGGGAAACCATAAGTTTAGAGACTCAGAGTTTCACTGTGTTACAGCAGACTTTGAATGCCTCATCTGAGCCACCCCCTCTGGCTCTTTTTCAATGGCATTTGTCTTTACCTGGTTTCCTTTCATATTCCTAACATATAATAAAAGTGGGCTGTATTTATCTCTGTGAAATGATTATTCCATTAAAAATTCTACCCACACCTTAAATCTAGCAAAACTCTTCATTTTACTAAATCATCAGAATAGGGATCCTTTAAAAAAAAGAAAGAAAGAAAGAAAAAGTGTAGCCTTTGGGATTTTTAAAATTTCAGTAATTTAAATTTTGCAGAAAGTTTATGGTATAAAATAGCAAGTAGGTTCATGGTATGAAATAGTACTGTATAAACTTTCCAGAAAATAAACAGTAATAATTATAATTATTAGAAAGCAGGCAAGTCCAATGCAGAATTTTTGATTTATATCCCTTCTTATAATGTACTTCAATTTATCTTTATCTTATACAGAGGAAATATTCATTATTCCCTCTCTCTGGACACACTTGTCACCACTGTGGCTTCAGCACAAATTATCCCATAGCATCAGTGACATTTTAAAAACACCTAGCCCTGGATTTTACTTGTATATATTAGTTAAGTTTCATAAGCAAACTTAGTCTAAGAAATTTTGTGAACTGGATTGTTACTGTTTATTTTTGAATACACACCACACACACACACACACACACACACACACACCATACACACATACACACACTCAAGGTTGTGTATCAGAGAAAGATAAAATCCATTTTGCAAGTTAAAAGGTGCTGATAATTATTTATAACTACATGAAATTGCCCATGATTTAATAACACACAGGACAATTTTAATATCACATGTGATATTTCCACAGATTTTCTTTTTCTGAGGTTTCCCAGCTAATCTTAAAGGAAGGGACATTTGATGTCTGTGTAAGGTAATTGTAGTTTTAAACTCTGACATTGTTGTAGTACCCTCAGAAGTGACATTTCTTCATCTCAAAACCTAACTGATACTTTTATTTAAACCAGGGATTCCCAAGATTTTTCAAAAGTGGATCTATTTGTCCATGTATATTCCTCATTTAACTGTAGAAATTTAGGGCTAGAAAATACCTGTTTTAGCTAAAAGAAGCTAACACTGAAAGTCAGTGACTTTGAAGGAAAAGATTGGTGATTGCAGAAATGGATATAATAATGTCCAAATCTGGAGGAAGGAAAGTGTTGGCAAACCCAGGCTAATTTCCCCTCTCTTCTAGAAATGACAGGGCATTACACTGATAGATACACTCTAGAGTCTTGTTGGCTTAGAATCAGACAGGTGGCTATACACTCGGCAATACCTCTATGATAAATGGTAAAATAATAAATTATAAAGAAGTTAAAAACTACTTATAGGAATTCTTATTATGTATAAGAAGGCAAAACCCTCATATGTCTCCACTTTGACTATTTATCATTCAGAAGAGACTTAACTGAAATAACACTGGTTCTATGTTTTACATAATGCAATGAGAGAGGACTCCTTTCTCCAGAAGATATACCTTGATGAAACAGCTTCTGGAACATAATAGGAAACTAATAAAATAAAATAGACGATTCTTTCCAAATCTGCTTATGTGAAAATCATACTACAAAAATAAAGAACTTGTCTAGATGGATTGTTTGTTTATATTAGTATTTGTTACCCTTCCTATAAAAAAGGCCTCTACTCTGAAACTGTGTGATCCATATAAAACTCCATTTAAAAGTTGCAGAGTTATTCATTACTCGGTTAAATTACTCAAGATGTTGCTATGCTTCTAACAAGAAATAAACTAAGAAATTTGCCAAATCAAATCAATAAATGGTTATCGATTCCCATTATGAAAGTTTTTGCATTATGTAGCTTCAAAAATTAAGATGCTTCCACCAAAAAGCAGTCATTTGGGCAGTAACTAGGATATTTACATGTATTCTTTTAGTATTAAAAGACTTTCACTTAATTGATTAACCATGGTTTCACTGATTATGCAATGCACACTTTATTATAATTTGCTATTTCCTTGTAACTGTCAACATAAAATTCTTAGTTAATATCATAATTTCATTCTTTAAGCAAGAATAAGTATGTAGTTCAAATTTGTCTAGAATTACAAGTTTAATTTTTTTTAATAACAATGAATTTAGAGAACTAGCTATACAGAATTCTTACTGAGCAATATAAGGATTTACAGTTACTTATATCAATAGTATAAGTTGACTTATAATGAAAGTTTACTTATAAAGCATAAAAACCTGTATTCTGTATTAAGGCTTCTAGTTAAAGAGATATAAGATAAATTATTCTTAAGTTCAAGTAAAAAATGCATTTTGAAACTTAAGATGACAATTTTCTTTTAAATAATATGTATATTTAAGTAACTAAAATCCATTACCTTATAAATATCCAAAAATCCACACTGGTGGTCGAATCTAGTGTACAGTTCATTCAGCATGCTGATCACCTGCATGGGGGTACACTGGGCACATATAGCTGTGAAGCCTACAATGTCCGAAAAGAGCATGGTGACATCATCAAACTTTCTGGCTTGCACTTGCTGCCCTTGCCACAACTGCTGGGCCACATCGCCAGGGAAAATAGAATACAGAAGATCCACTGTCTTCTTTTTCTCTTCTTCCAGGGCCTGGTGAGTTCTTTCCAAAGTTGCCTTTAATTTGTCCATCCTCTTCTTCAAGCCATCTTGGGCTTTTGCCTGCTCGCCAACCAAAATGACATCTCGGGTGGCATCATGGATAGGGATATCTGAGAGATGTAGGCCCCGGCCCATCAGTTCATCCAACTTGTCCACACATGGGGAGCCCAGAAATAAAATGGAATTTGATTCTGGCACATGGATCATTTGACCTTTTACTTCCATCACCTGTGAAATTAACATGGAATTTTGATCAGTATTTTTCCTTCATATGATATGTTGGAAAAAGCTTTATTATTTGATGAGTAGGATGAACAAGAAATAAAACATTTCAAATTCAAATTGCAACTTACAAATTCAGATTCATCTTGCCAACTACTCCCTTGAGGGTTCTCATAATAAGGGCCTTTAGCTATTAGTTTTTTGATCCTCAGAGTAGTCATGTGACATACTCTTTTCATTTTCATTTTAAAGAATGAAATTTGACTGGTGATTGTCAAAGTTACTAGAAACAATATACTAATTTATGAAGAAAAAAATTATATGTGCAGTTTTATGTAATAAAGGCCAAAGAAATTTTTGGTCCTGGTTCTTTGTCTGGTTGATGGGGAACACTGCCTACCTAATATATGAATGATGTAAACTATTGTTTTCTAAAATATGAGCTATAAACTGAATCAGAACTAACTTAACATAATATCCCTGCTACTTACTAGATTTATTTTCAAAAGGGATATAATAACACCTATGTCACAAGATTGTTCTGGAAAATAAGTGATATATTACAAGTAAAGCAATGTGCACCGTGACTGGAACACAGTTTGTGTTCAACAAAAGTGGATTTCTTCAACTTGGTTTTGATTTAAGAAATCTGCACATTTAAATCACACAAATTGTTAAGTAGTAAATAGTGGGAGAATTATTTATAGCATTTTTTGCTGGATAGCAGCATTAATTTAAGGTTTAGTTTTGGAAAAGGTTARTAGAAACACCCCAATTTGCCAAKATTTTCCCATTGCACTGATATTATGCTATCAGATGAGAGAGAACTGTGTTGTCTGGAATGTTAATTTCCATTTTAGTAAACTCACCCAATACTGAATTATTAAAAAATTGATGATGATACAATTGACATATTTACATTCTAAACCTTGCCAGAAATCTTATACTGAAAGACCTGAGCGTATCTGAAACAATTGTTCAATGACAAGAATTGTTTATGGAGAAAAGCTAATATTATGAAGTATGATTTTAAGGAAACATATTAACATAACAAATGGATAGTAAAACTTAAAATTGCAAAATGTGCAGAACCAAAAGCTAAGTTGCTCATACTGACATAACAAAGTGGTTAGTAATGAGGGTGAACAAGTTGTTTGAGTTCAGAAATCAATTTTTTACAGTGTATTGATACACAAAAGAGACCTATCGTGTAATAGCACAATTAACTATAGAAAATTAGTGAGAATCTTTCACTTTCAGCATTGAGTAACATTTATGTTGAGGTACCATTCTTTAAGAATTTATTTTTCATAAGATGGCACTGAATTTTTTCAAATGCCTTTTCTGTATATATTTAGATGATCGTATGGCTTTGATCCTTCATTTGTTAATGTAGTGTATTACATTCACTGATTGCCTCTGTGAAGCTTCCCATAGCCTTGCATCCCATGGATCAATCTCACTTGATCACAGAATATAATCCTTTCAATGTGTTGTTAATTTGGTTTGCTGGTATTTTGTTGAAGATCTTGCCTAACAATGTGTAATTTCAAAAATACCTTTTATATAATCCATTGTCAAAGGGAAATTGTCAAAGGAAATTTCAAAATCTAAGATGGAATGAAAAAAAAAGGGCTGTATAACATATTAAAATAAACAACATGCAACAGTGTTGAGAGAGAAATTTATCGCTCTAAAATGCTTTATTTCAAAAAAAGATCATTAGTCTATAATATAAACTCCTACATCAAGAAAAATAAGAGAAAAATAATCCAAAGCCAAAAGAAAAAAAGGAAATAATAAGCATAAGTGTGTTGTTAAATGACATTGAAATAGGGGTGGGGGGTGGAGGGAGATAAAGAAAATGAACAAAAAAATTCAAAAACATCAGCAAATCTAATAAGACTGATAAAATAATAAGTGAGAAAACAAATCACCAGCATCAGGAACAAAACAGAATAACATTAGAAATAATAGAGCATCAAAAGAATAATTGAGGTACATTTTTGACAACTTTACCTTACAAAAACTGACAATTTAGAAGAAATGAATCAATCCTTTGAAAACTACAAACTACCAAAACTCAACCAAGATGAAGTGGATAATCAGAAAAATTTTAATCATAAAGACACTGAATCTATGGAGACTATCATGCTAAGTAAAATAAACCAATCCCCCAAAACCGAAGGCCAAGAATGTTCTCTCTCATATGCAGATACTAASACACAATAAGGCAGTGGGAAGAATAGAAATTCATTGGATTAAGCCAGGCAAGGTGGCAGAGGCCAGTAATCCCAGTGGCTCAGGAGGCTGAGACAGGAAGATCGAGAGTTCAAAGCCAGCCTCAGCAAAAGCGAGGCAATAAGCAATTCAGTGAGACCCTGTCTCTAAATAAAATAAAAAATGGACTGTGATGTGGCTCAATAGTCAAGTGCCCCTGAGTTCAATCCCTGCTACAAAAAAAAAAAAAAAAGAAGAAGAAGAAGGAGAAGGAGAAGAAGTAGTAGTAGTTGTTGTTGTTCATTGGATTAGACAAAGGGGAATGAAGGGAAGGGAGGAGGAATGGGAATAGGAAAGACAGAATAAACTTAATATAACTTTCCTATGTTCATATATGAATACACCATCAATTAAATCCCACATTATGTACAACCACAAGAATGGGATCCTAATCAAAGTAAATTATACTCCATGTATACATAATATATCAAAAATACTCTACTTTCATGTATAAATTTTAAAAAAGACACTGAATTTATAATCCAGACATATCTTGAAAAAGAATTTTAAGGACTAGTTGATCCTCCTGGAAAATTCAGCCAAATATTTGCAGAAGTATTAATACAAAATTTACATAATTACTTCCAGAAAATAAAAGAGAAGGAGACACTTAAATGAGGTGTATCTCCACACTTTCCAAAATATTCCATCAGCTCATCGACAGAAAAAATTATTTATTTGTCCTTGCACATCTATAATCTAGCTAGTATGTGATGATCCACATGTAATGAGAGACATGTTTGACCAGAACTACACAATCCCAATATGTAGTTTCTTCAAACTGTATAAGTAAATGTCATCTATATGCAAAGACTTATCCTCTGTAAAGTATATTATTTAAGCCTTGAGTGTTATGCTTACCTAAAACTATTTGAACTGGGACCTCCACTCAAAATAGTTTCTGTAATTTTAACAATGTTTTCCATTTGGTAGACTTGTTAAATTGCTCAGTTAATAATGCAGAAGAGAACACGAAAAAGTCAAGAATGCCCACCCTTGCCTATTTTATTCAACATAGTGGTAACTACAGTAATTAGGCATGTAAAAGAAATAAAAGGCATCCTAATAAGAAAGGGAAGATAAATTGTTCTTATTTGTAGACAACATGATAATAAGATTGTACTTAGATATCTATGGGGATTAATTGCAGGACCCTTCTCAGATAGGAATATCCACAGATGCTACTTCCTAAAGCAAAATATGAGCATACAACCTACACATATCCTTGCATATATTTTAAATCATCTCTAGACTACTTATATTACCTAGTACAGGATAAATGCCCTTCTAAATAATTGTTACACTGTACTTTTGGGGGAGATAATGATAAGAAAAAGAGACATGTTAAGTAAAGACAAAATTATTTATTTAAATATTTTTGACTTCCAATTGGTTAAATTCTCCGATGTAGAACCTGAGGATATTTTATATAGAAACCCTTAAAAACTCAACCAAAAACCGTTAGAACTAATGAGCAAATTCAGTAAAGTTGCAGAACACAAATTAAATATATAAAATTATTAGCATTTCTATGCACTAACAGCAAACTATCCAAAAAATAAATTTAAAAAGCCACTCCATTTAAAATAGTATCAAAAAGAAAAACACATGTAAATGAAAAAAAATGTAAATGTAACTAAGGAGGCAAAAGACATATACACTGAAATGAAAGAAATTGAAAACATACATTAAGTAAAAGCTGGCTATGTTCATGGAGGTGGAAAATTAATATTTTTAAATGTCCACACTACTCAAATGGTTTACAAATTAAATATAATCCCTATCAAAATTCAATAGCATTTTCCATAGAAATAAAAAATAAATAAAACTAGAATGGAACCACTAAAGATCCCAATAACTAAAACATTCTTGAACAAAGAACAATGTTGGAGGCATCACAGTACCTTACTTCAAAAAATACACTCCAAAAGCTATATTAACCAAAACAGAGTGGTATTGGCATATGAACAAATAAACCAATAAGACTGAATAAAGAACCTGGGAAAAATCCTCACATATTTATAGTAAATTGGTCTTTGACAAAGGTGCCAAGAATATATAATAAGAAAAGAACAATCCCTTTGATAAATGATTTTGGAAAAACTGGATATCCTAAATGCAGAAGAACTTAATTAGACCCTTATCTCATGCCATATAAAAATCAACTCAAAATGGATTACAGAATGAAGAGAGCGCCTGAAGAAAGGGACAAAATATTTGCAAAGCATCCATAGGATAAAGGGTTAATATCTAAAATATATAAGAAGTTCAACTGAAGAATAAAACAAAAACAAAGAAATAAAAAAATCCCTATTAAATATGCAAACAGCCCAAACAAACACATATCAAAAGAAAACATACAAATGGCCAAGAGGTATAGTCATGCATCTCAATGTTTCTATCAACAAAGGACCACAATACAATAGCAGTCCCATAAAATCAGACCTCCTAGTGATATCACAGCAATCTCAGTGTGAGTAAGTGTAGTCTATGACGTTCACAGCAAGGAAATCACTTGATGATATATTCCTCAGAATATATCAACGAAGGAGTTGATGCATGACTAAGTAGGAAAAACTGCTCAACGTCACTAAACATTAGGGAAATGTAAATCAAAACCAATAAGGCTGAAAATAGAAGGGAGATAAGTGCAGTGCAGGAAAGGAGGGAGAATGGGGAAAGGAAAAAAATGTGGAATGAAATTGACCAAATTATGGTATGTATAA